TATCTATCTATCTATCTATCTATCTATCTATCTATCTATCTATCCACAACAGACACATTTTTAGTCACTTTCTTCTTTTTTTCCTGGAAAGAAATTCAACACTAGGATGAGATTACATGGACACGTTTGTTTTAGCACCTAAAACTGATCCATGTTTAGTGAATGGATGGTTCTAAATCCTTGCAGTGATCAGGGAGCATAGGTCCAGCATACTGATGTTGGTACTTGGGTTCACTGTTCAATATTCAGCTTCCATGCTAAAACTGCACTAGCCTTTAAAATAATGGTGCTAGCTTTAAATATGTCGTGGGCTGAGACTGGAGTATAGAAAGTGCAGCAACAATGGTCTACAGCAGAGGTCTCCAACCTTGGCAACTTTAAGACTTGTGGACTTCAACTCCCAGAATTCTCCAGCCAGCAGAGCTTGCTGGAGAATTCTGGAAATGGAAGTCCACAAGTCTTAAAGTTGCCAAGTTTGAAGACCTCTGGTCTACAGCAGTGTTTTTCAACTTGTGGTCTGCGGACTTCGGAGGAGCCACAATGTCTCTCAGGAGGTCTGCAAAGGTTTGAAGAAATGATTTAAATATTGATTTAAGTCTGTGTGGGGAAGGTTGTGACCATGGTCTGTGGATCACAAAAGATATTTAAAGGAGGGAGGATCTGTGGTGAAGAAAGGGTTGACAACCACTGGTCTATGGGAATTAGAACACAGTTCCAGATGTCATGGGAAAGCTGGATGCACGAGGGGGAAAAAACAGTGTATCATCAAAACACCGCTGAAAGACTTGTACAACTTGACATCTGCTGCTGCAGCATCTGGACTGCAATAACAGAATACTCCAGTGGGCATTGTTCTATTTTGATAGCAAGAGCTTTTCACTTCTACTACACCATGGTTGTTTTTTTTTTAAAGTAATGTAGTCTTTTTAAAAATGGATCCTGAATTTCTTCATATTCAAAGAGGCTTCTGGTGACTGTAATGACAGCAAGCCTGAAAAAAATGCATATTAAAAATAAACTGGGTTATTAAACTAGAATTAATGCTAATGTAATGAATATTGTTTATAAATTCTGATTATCATTTTACAAGATATTTGTACCCAGATGACACGCTGTTTAATCAAAGATGGAATTACTATATTATCAAATTTACACACACACACACACACACACACACACACATATAAAGTTTTCGTGGGTACTTACATGTATGGTATTCAGTTTGTTCACATATTTTTCCACGTCATTAAAGTTGTGCTTTTAAAGTTGTAGCGACGTTTCGGCAGAATCTCATCTGCCATCATCAGGCTTCTGTATTGTGTTCGTCTGTGAGTCAGACTTTCACAGCCGTTTCAGTTTTAAATTTGGGGCTAGCCTACTGCTGTGCCAGAATGGTTTTTTCTTCATCCTGATTAGTTGGGAGTCTTGGTCTGTGTTTATTGGTCTTGGAGTTTGCTGTGTTCTGCTTGATTGGTGTTTCTACTATCTTCTGTCTGTTTTGTAGCTTTTTTTGTCTTGATTGGCTGGCAACATTGTGTTCCTGTATTGGAGGCTTTTAGTGCAGCTTGGCTCCAAGTAAATGGACGGCTATCATTTATTAGGAAGCTAGGTTTCATCTGGGTGCCTGGTTGGGGTGTGTTTGAGCTGGAGGTATCAGGGGGGATCTGTTTGTGCCCAGGTGTTTGCCTGGCTTATGGTGTGGAGATTTTTTTGTTTGTGAGTGCAGGCTTCCAAATAATTGACAATCTGGTGGAATCATCTCTTCTATTCATGCTTTCAGGTCTTTTTTCAATCTCTATAGCTTCTCTGATAATTCTGTGGCTGGGACAAACAAAAAAATCTCCACACCCGAACAGAACTGAATACCATACATGTAAGTACCCACGAAAACTTAAGAATATATATATATATATATATATGGATAAATGAAAAAAACAAGCATTCTAAATCATCAAATCCTTGGCAACATTAATTTATCAGAACAGAATGAACTTGGTGGCAATTTTTTTCTTTTTACAAATCCATAATTCCTCCTGTCTTTTAAGAAGCACAAAATGATTTCTAAATCCTCGTGCTTAAAAGGAAGGTAAAATGAACTAAATACAATGGTTCTGGGATGATGTATATCGGGCCCATGACTAATTTGCTGGAAAATATGTGTTTATGAAGTAAGCATGCAGAGAATTGTTCCAAAGGCACTTCACATTTTAAGTGTGAATGAGAAATATTCCTGATGCTAAGAAATATATTTTTATCCCTCATCTTTTTTGAAGGACCATTTGAAAAACTGAAAAGGACTTCACATACAAAGTACTTGAGAAAGGAGATGAGGTTTGAATTTGATGCATTAGCAAATTTCAACATTAATCTTGAAAATACTTTGGTATCAGTGTAACAAATAAGAATAGCATGTTATTTTATATAATAATAGAATATTTAGAAACCTAGGAAATAACGAATATACATTTTTTCTTGGTTTTGATAACATTTTTAGAATATTTTATTAAGATAGACTTGGTATGATTTTACGATCTGTTATAAAATAAATTAACTAAATTATAGTTATCTCGCTTAAGTATGAATTAGTAAAATTATAGTCAAATGATTGTTTAATAATGATATTAGGATATATAATTGTTGATTGATAATATGAGTTATTATGTAACATAATTATTATGATGACTATGAAATGGATGCACAAAAAGGAGTGGTAAACCAACCGATACACCGTCTGTAAATTTATGAAGAATGATGATGTTTTTATGTTATGTTTTATATTTTATGTGTTTTTGTTTGTTGTTAAAATCAATAAAACTTTAAAAAAAAAAAAGAATAGCATGTTATTTCGAAATAATTATGCGAAGACATAGAATGAAATGTCAAAATGGGACAAATTACAATTGTCGTGTTGGTAGAATTTCTCTGATTAAAGTCAATGTTTTAACTAGATTGTTATTTTTGTTCCAGACAATACTTATTTTGAAAATTGATGTACCATTTAAACAATGGCAGAAGATATATCTAAATTTGTATGGGAAAGGGAAACTTGAGTTAAATATAAGGTGCAACAAGATGGAAGCAAAGAAGACAATTGGGCTAGAAGACTTGTTACCTGTTGTTTAGTTTGGATGAAAAAAATGGATGTTGTTAAGGAATAGGAGGTTTTGGTTCTAGAAGGTCATAATTTGAGATTTGGATGACATCGGTACCTATGGAATGATAAAGCTAAGATAAATGTAGTTTAAAAATCATTATTAGACAGGCCATACTTAAGAGTGTAGAATAATTATAAATTTGGATTTTTGCCTGAAAACTTCTTTGTAGCTTTCAGCCAAGGAAGCATTTTATAGATGAGAAATGACAAGTAAATATAAATTGTTAACTTATCATGATGTACTAGAATTTTCTTAATGGATTGTAAAAATCAAACAAAAAGAAGTTTTCATGCCAATGGTTTTTAGAAAGATTTAAAGTGGGTTTTTATTATAAACCGTCCAAAGTCACTTAAGTAAGATGGACAATGTAGAAATGTGATATATAAATAAAGACTTTCTAGTTATGAACAAAGTAACACTGTGTTACAAATAGAATTACCGTATTTGCCGGTGTATAAGACGACTGGGCGTATAAGACGAGCCCCCAACATTTCCACTCAAAATATAGTTTTTGTTATATACTCGCAGTATAAGACGACCCCCCCCACTTGGAGGCATGCTTTTCAAGGCAAAAAAGTCGTCTCATACGCCGGCAAATATGGTAAGTTGTAACACTTGGGGTATTCTGGATATAATTCTTGATTGACACCCCCAACCCCTTTCCCCCAAACTTACAAAGCCACCAAAATGCTTTAGAGAGGCAGCTTCGCCTTTCTCAGGCTGGCACTCAATTCCTCTCCCTTTCTTTGTGACAGCCCCCGCGTGCGTGCCATCGGGACTCCAAGGGTGGGGGATGGACAGCTGCCAACTCTCTCTCTCTCTCTCTCTCTCTCTCTGTGTGTGTGTGTGTGTGTGTGTGTGGTGTGGAGGGTAATTCCGGCTATCTCT